GGCGACGCACAGCACTGTCCAGCAGTGTCTCAAACCTGAAAGAGCAGCGGGTGGAGATGGGGCAGAGAGAAAAGAAGGACGCCAAGACAAGAGTCTGATCAAGGCGACGTTTATTGCAGGCAGGCATCAGCCTTTAAAAGGAAAAGACCGAACTATTATAGGCTAGGATTACCATAGTAACCTCAACACCCGCTCCACGGGAACGAGGGTTCACACGGGAAAGAGAAAGCAGGCTCAAGAAAAACAAATTAACAACACTTGCAACTAATAATCATGATTCCCACAATAGGTGGAGGAACTTAACAAAATGGAGTTACAACACCTGACTCCCACAGAGCTTTGGCTGTCGGAGTTTCTCCCGTGCAGGGTCAAAAACAAGTTTAAGACGTGCAGTCCTTAAAAAGGAACAAATGTTAAATGCTAATTAGGAACATCCTGACCACACATTGTGTCAATGCCTTGATTATAAAGAAAGAAGTTATCTTTCAAAAAGCCAGTGGGCCATGACTGGCTTCCCACATGAGACAGTGGAGATCTCTAGGGTCCAGCATGGGAAGCATCAGCTCTCTCTCCCCATAAATCGCACAGGTTGGTGCAGAGCCAGGGAGGAGGGGACCCCAGGGAAGGGCCTCCTCTGAGCTCCAACGCTCTGCCCCTCCCCCACTCCTCCCTCGTGGCCACCTCCAGCCTGCATCTGCTGGGGTGGACACTGCTGGTCACCACTCTGTCTCATCCCCGGGTCCCTGAGCACCCCCCTCCGTTCTGCTTCCGGACGGGTCGCGGGTAGTGGCGACGCACGTCTCACTCGAATGGGGCAGAAGCTGAACTATCATTTCCTCATTTGCCATAAAAACAAGCCCATTGTTGGTGTCGCAGCTAAAAAAAGGAGCAGGCGGCTGAGTCTCAGGAAAGTACCTGGGGAGGGTCAGTTAGGCCTCCCTGTCGGCTCAGCCCCTGACTTCTTAGGTTTGTGCTGACTGCGTCCTGTGTGCAACTAAACGCTGAGAGACGGCTGCTCCAGGATGCATTCATTCATTCCAAATGCACTCGCGAGCCTGTTCGGTGGGCGGCGCTGTTGCAGCTCTGGGGAGGAGGAGAGGAGAGGAGAGGAGAGGAAGCCCTCGCTCTGTTCCAGTGGGGCTAGGGGCAGAGCAGAAAAGCAGCGCCTTCTGCAGCACGTGGGGGCTCATTGTGATGAGGAGAGAGCCTGGGCTTCTACGGGCTGACAGTATGGCGGAGATGGGACGGGACCCAAGTACAGCCACAGCCACAGCGGGCCTCCTGGGAGGGTGGGCTAAGTAAAACACAGCCTGCCAGGTGGTGCTCCGCAGCTGGGAGGCTGGGCACGGGCTCTGGGATGAGTGCAGGGGCCAGGACAGAGGAGAAAAGGCCTCTGGGCAGGTGCCTTTTGCTTTTTTGTTCTAACAGTCCTGGGAATTGAACCCTGGGCCTTTGCGCTGAGCTACATCCCCAGCATTTTTTCATTTTGAGACAGATCTCGCTAAGTCCCTAAATTCCCCAGGCTGGCCTTGAGCAGCTCTCCTGCCTCAGCCCCTCAGAGTGCTAGGATTACAGCCCAGGTTTCTCAGAGTGAGGTCCAAGGTGACACAGGATCAGTTGGAGGGGCGTTTGGGAGTCACCCCACACACACACACACAGGAGCACAGTTTGGCCTGTGCTCTCACAGCACTGGAGGCCAGAGGTCCGAAATCCAGGTGTCTGCGGGCTTCCCCGTGGAGGTTGAGCCGGAAACTCTCCCCGTGCTCTCGCCTGCTGCTCACCTGCAAGTCCTCACCGGTCTGCACCTCCCAACCTGTTGGGCGGCCCCTCCCTAACCCAGCGCGGATTCCTGGCGTTAAGCAAATCACTGAACTTGATGGCATCTGTGGACGCGCTGTTCTCGGTCCTAATGGGGCCCACACAGAAGGGCTCGGGGTGGGGGGGACACACTGACCATAATATCTCTTTGGAGACGCATTCACTCCAGATAGGTGCGCTGCTTGCTCAAAATTACGCCCTTGTGCCCCACACTGCACCAAGGAACCGCAGTCTCTTAAGACTGGGACTTCAGCTCCCAGTTATCCCAGAGAAAAGCTGGCAGAGGTGCAATCAATTCTAGGGCCTCTGAGCCAGGCTGGACTCACACACGGCCTGGGGCCTGGGTGTGCGCCCTGGTAGGCGTAGGCCCTCGGCAGCTTCCTGCTTCCCTTTGCTTTTTTTTTTTTTTTTTTTTTTTTTTTTTTTTTGGGCGTTGAGGCTCAAAACCAAGGCCTTGTGCAAGCACTCTGCCATTGAGCTACATCCCTGGCCTTTTCTTTTTGAGACAGGGTCTCACTAAATTTCCCAGGCTGGCTTGAACTTGCAGTGCTCCTGCTTCAGCCTCCCCAGTAGCTGGGATTATAGGTGTGTATCACTGTTTTCAGTTTATTATTATAATTATTTTAAATTTTGGTTTTTTGAGACAGGGTCTTTCTATGTAGTTCAGGCTGGCCTTGAACTCTCTCTGTAGCCCAGGCTGGGCTCAAACTTACAGCGATCCTCCTGCCTCAGCCTCTTGAGTGCTGGGATTACAGGCATGTGCCACCACAATGGGTCACTGCTTTCAGTTAAAATCCATAACCTAAAGAATGAAAAGGAAAAAAAGGTACAAGTCGTTTTAGAATAAAAAGTGAATGCTCTTTTGCTGTTGCAAACTGCAACTTATAGAAGGCTCCATTCTGTACACATGAGCAAATCAAGTTTCTATTCAGTCACTGAAATGGAAGGGAAGTTTTCTCTTTGCGCTTCTATAAATTGAGATCATTTTCCTTCGTGAAGAGAGCAAAGAGCCAAGTGTAACCACACAGTGGCCCAACCCCGACATTCCCCAGGGGAGCAGACTCTGGCCCTGAGATGAGACCATCTCTTTGACCCTCAGGAGACCATCTTTGGGATCCTCCTGCCTCAGTCTCCTGAGTGCTGGGATTATAGGCATGTGTTCCTACTATGCCGGCTACACTTTATTTCGAGACAGGGTATTGCCTAGTCCCTAAACTGCCCAGGCTTGAACTTGCAGTCTTCCTGCTTCAGTCTCCTAGAATACTGGGATTATACAAGTTTACCATCATACCTGGCCACACTATTCTTGAAAAGTACACAGACACCCAGTGGTAACACACCCCTCTGCTCTCACCTCCCATTCAGAAGGTGACTTTGCTTAGCCCTGACTTCTGTCCTGGGGGTTCAGGAAGGGCAGCATGAGGCCCAACAGGAGGATGGTAGGATGTTTCTCTGTCAAGGTCAACAAAACAGCAAAATCTTATGTGAGCAGATCCCGGGCTGGGACAGGCCTCCCAGTCTGGGCAGGAGGGAGCTTAGGGCAACCTGAGCATGCCAGCCTCCTGCTGACATCTCACTACTCTTCACAACCTGCTAGGAGGCCGGGGATATGGCTCAGTGGCACTGCGCCTGCCTGCCAAGCGCAAGGTCCTAAATTCAATCCCAGGTACCAGGAAACAAAACAAAACAAAACCTTGCTTCCTTGAAGTTGCCTCTTCTCCCCGCCCAGCCCACCCTCTGGGCTCCCCTGAAGTGCCTCTCGTGAGGCCTGGTCAGACCCTCTGCCCCTGCCCTCTCACTGTCCCCTGTAGCCAGGTGTTCACTGCTGTCACTCCTGCGTCCCCAGGCCTGTGGCCGGGCTGGGATGATGGGGCCTCTGAGCTTGGAGAGGCCCCGGCCCGGAGCCAGAGGGAAAGGCAAGTCTGAATGGAAGCCGCCCCAGGGGGTCCCTGTCCGTCCACACCAGAGGGACCCATCCCTGAAGGTGCCACCAACTTGGGTGTTCGCTGGGAGAACCTGGACCACTGCGCCCAGCGAGGGCACCGAGCGGGCCACTGCCTTGGAGCTCATTGAGTTATTCAGCCAAGAAGTGCCCCTCTCAGCTGAGACACAGTATATGGGGCACGGCACATGCCTGACCCCTTGCAGTTGGCAGTGGGCAAGGCTGGCTGTCCAGAGGGCAGACCAGGGTCCTGGCTCTCCTTGCCTGTGTCCTTGCCTTGGCACACTTTCATGCCTACCTGCTCACATCCACCTCTCACAGAATTCTTTTTTTTTAGTACTGGCAGTTAAGCCTAGGGCTTTTCCACTGAGCTACATCCTCACACCCTACTCTCTTAATTTTGAGTCAGGGTCTTGCTAAGTACTAGGTTGCCCAAGCTGGGCTCTAACTTGGCAATCTTCCTGCCTCAGCCTCCCGGAGTTCTTTTTTTTTTTTGATACAGGGGTTCAAACTCAGGACCCTGTGCTTGTGCTTGCACCACTGAGCTAAATTCCCAGCCACTCCCAGAGTTCTTGGATTGCAGGCCTGTACCATCACACCCAGCTCTCATGGAATCTTATATTCCAGGCAGAAAAGGCCTGACCGTAGGCGACAGCATTCTGTTTGATTTGGTTTGTTTGCAGCACTGGGTATTGAAACCTCTGCACTGAGCTACCTAGACCTTTTTATTTATTTTTTTAATTTTGAAATAGGTACTTGTTAAATCACTAGGCTGGGCTCCAATTTGCAGTCCTCCTGCATCAGCCTCCCAGACTGCCGGGATCACAGGCGCGAGTCACCACCATACCTGGCTTCCACAAGCTGATGAGGGGTCAGGCTGTCTCCAACTTGCTTCCAGTTTGTTGGCCGTGTGCGCACCTTCTCACTTGTGTCTGCAGAGCCCATTTTCTTGCTGTGTGTCTAGTCGCGGAGTTGCCACGTCTGGTGCTAAGTCTTCATTTCACTTTGAGGAACTGCTAAACCAGTATTTTCTCGAGATGCTTGAGTGATCTCGGTTTCTTTCTTCCCGTTCCATCTGTCTCGCCCCCTAGACATCTCCATGACCTACAAAGTCCTGAAGGTCTACCCCCAAAGTCGCCACATCCTCCTAACGTGCCACGCGCCCCGGGTTCTTCCACCCATCACCTACGTCCTCTTCGCCAGCCAGGGCATCCAAATGGCCAAGAAGGTGGTGCACACTCAGCAGCCGGCCTCCTTCACCCTCAATGTCACGCTCAAGTCCAGCCCAGACCTGCTCACCTACTCCTGCCAGGCGGCCTCCCCCGCCGGCGTGCACGGGAGCAGCGCCCCACTGCGGCTGTACTGGGAGCTGTGGGCCAGTGAGTGCAGGCCGGGAGCCTGGGCGGGACTGGGGCCCAGAGGGCCAGGGCAGAAGTGAGGATGGAGGCCTCCAGGCTGCCGTTGGTACCACAGGGCAGGTGCAGTGAGACCCCCAGGGAAGAGGCTTAGGGCAGAGAGGCCAGAAGGTGGAGGATGCAGCAGGGAGGCTGCACTTCGGGCTGAGAAGCCAGGAGCCCATCTCAGCTATCTCAGTGGATGTCGCAGCTGTGGACGCTGAAGCTCTTAGAGGCCCAGGAAGTTGCCCCAGACCAAGGCTGGCTTCAAACCCCACTCTGCCATCAGGCATGGTGGCGAACTCCTGTAATCCCAGCATTCAGGAGGCTGAGGCAGGAGGACTGCTGTGAATTCAAGGCCAGTCTAAGATACATAGCAAGTTCAGAGTCAGCCTCAACTACACAGAAAGACCCTGCCTCAAAAAAAAAAAAAAAAAAAAAAAAAAAACCC